TCCCTGAGCACCTCCCCTTCCTGCAGCGAGAGGATGGCACCCAGGAGCTGGACACCCCACAGGAGCTCCCAGCCTGCTCTGCAGCCCCATCCCAGGGCTCCTTTGGGACCAGATGGGCTCCTCCACAGGTCATGAGGGGTGTTGAACCCGCACCCTGTTTGCAAACAGGCTGTGCTGGCACCCACGTGGCAGCTTGTCCTGCTGCCAGGCTGCAAAAGGCACCCAAGGCACACAGCAGGAGCAGGAGCAGGGCAAGGACTGCATCCGACTCAGGGTGGTGGCGCTGCTCACCTGGACAAGCTCAGGAGCCACTTCCCATCCTCCTGCTTCTCAGCAGAGGAGCTTTGTAAGGAGTTTCAGGGCCCAGATGAATGACTGATCAGGGACTTGCCTGAAATAAACTCATTTCCAAAGGCAGTGATGGTGGGGAAGCCCCACCACATACCAAGGTCCTTCCCAACGTGGGTGCCAAGTGGCCTCCACCTCCATCCATACACATCCATCCTTTCCCAAAGGTGTCCAGCCAGTTTCCAGCCCACTTTTTTCCAACCCAGCTGAGGAAAAGGATGGCAGCATGTCAAATGAGCATCAAGGCGAAGGGATGGAGCTCGAACAGCAGGTGGGAGACTGGATGGTGAGTTGATGGTGACCAGGCTCTTCCCCTGTCATTAAAACCACAGATCACAGGAGGAGAAACCACACAAGGGAAACTTCAGAGTGCAGAGAAAACTTCCCCATTCCCTGGGAAGTGCCATGGATGAAGATCAGGACCGTGCCTGGAGTGGCTGAGAGTGCCACAGTGCCAGCCTGGGACAAGGACCCTGCTGCTGGCACATCCCCTTGGCACCAGCAGAGGACTCTGCTGCTGCAGGTTCAGTTTATTCAGATGAACAGTTCCTCCCTTAAAAATCAGGATGGATTTTGCACTGCTGGGCCCAGCATCCTCCATGTACCTCCCACCATCTCCCAAGGTCTCCACAGGCTGAGATCTCAGCTGAAAACCTCTCATCCCTTTCTGTCCAAGTTCAAAGGTAGGAGCTCAGTGGTTTGAGGGCATCTCAAGGCTCCCCCAGGATTTAAGGGGGGCTGGGAACGGGGTTTTGACACAGTGCCTTCCCACAGTGAGTGGCAAAAGCAGAGGAGAAGGGTCTGGGGGGAGAATCTCCTGCTCTCCCTCCAGCAGCATCGAAGGGGGCTGCAAAACCCACCCAGGGGTTTGGGGGTGCTGCAAAAGGGGAGCCCCCAGTGCTGAGCTGAGACCTTGCAGCTCGTCTCAGGAGTGAGGGGCCACAGCCAGGAAGGTTTCAGCTGGCTGGGAGGATTTGTGGAATTGCTGCTCTCGTATTAATTAGGTTTTGGGGTTTTTCTGGCTGATTTTTTTTTCTGAATTTTTTGGCTTTTTTTCTGAGTGCTTTCCTCTGCCCTTGGGAGATCAGGCAAAAGGCTTGAGGGTTCAAACCCTTCCCCAATCCCAAAGTGGGATTGGAATGGGCATCTGTGTACATATGCATGTGTGCCTACATGTGCACAACCCAGCTGCTCCCCAAAACACCCTCGAAATGTTGGTGCTTAGCCAGGGCTTAAAACTGCAGGTATTTGAGGAGAAATCATTTTTGAAAAAGGTTATTTTAAACTTCCAGGTTTCCATGAGCATTTATTTGTCAGAGTCTGCAAATATTGGTATTGAAGCTGTGAAAGTCTTCAAATAAGCTCCTCACAAAGCTGGGTGATTGATGTGTTATTTCAAACACCCACTGGCTGGTTTCTCCTTGAGCAACTGCTGCCTTGGCCCATCCATACTGGGGGAATTTCTGCAATAATATTGGGCTGTGGGATTTGGGAATTGCCCCTGTGTTTGAACACAGCTTTGGCCTGCTGGGTGGTGGCCTTTGGGCCTCTCATATCACTCTCCCAAAGCCACCTCAGGCTCTGGCATGGGGAAGGTTTCTCTGGTGTCAAAAACAGATTTTGAGCTGTTGGGTGACAATTCCTTCAGGTCACAATTAAATTATTAGGAGCTCAGCAGTGTGGCAACTTTGTTCCTGAATCAAAGTGGTCAGAGATGACTTGGAGGGGCAGACAGACTTGCTCCTCTGGATAATCCAGCCCCCAAGGCAGAAAAGCAGAACAAAAATGGAGACAGGACTTGGAAAAAGAGGTGGAAGCACCGAGTGTTTACAGTAACAGCATGGCCCCTTGCCTGCCACTGTCCCATTAAGGGCCTGCTTCCTCGGAAGGCACGATCAGGAAGGAAAAGCTCTCATGGGATGCTGGCAAGGCCCAGCACAAGTGTGCATCCCTCCAGCCCGTGTGGCAGATTTGTTGCCTTGGCAGGAAACCATCAGTGCTCTCAACTTTCCCTTCCTGCTGCCTGTGCTAAGGGATATTTAGAAAAAGTGCTTTGTGACCACTTGGCGTGGCTGGGTGCCTTTTTCTGCTCGTTCCTCTGCACAGCCTCTGTGCTCCCCATCAGTGGCTGTTTCTCTTCCTTGATTCTCATTCTTGGGTTTGGGCGACTCAGGGCTGGATGAGCTGTGCAGAGTCATTGCAGTAAAGATTTGGGAAGGATGCTCTAAATCCCAGAAGTGAAACCTATTCACGTGTGAGCCCTTGGTCCCTGGGCATTGTCCCCAGAGAGGAACCCCTCTGAGAACCAGAGGTTTCCAACATCTTGGTTTGGTGGCTTCTGAGTGGCTGGGAGAGCCAGAAAAACAAAATAAGTTATATGGGATGGGAGACAAATTATTTTGAGTTATGCTAATTAATTACTTAATCTAACTATTTATTCCAGTCTTCAACAAGAGCAGCCTAGGAGAATCTACCAAGACCATGGAGACACAACCTAAAAAGGTTGGCTATTGAATTTGTCACACTCCAAGGAGTTTTGTCCTGCCATGGTCACAGAGCTGTCTCTGGATTTTTCCAGAACTGGTGGCACCAGCCCCATGAAAATCTTGAATCAAGAGTGGAGATTGAATTCATTGAATTAGATATACAAAGGAGTGGACAGCTGTACCTGGAGCTTAAAATATTTCCACGGTACTCAAGAACCCAGTTTCTACCCACAATACCCATCTTTGTGCATACCAGAGGAGACAGCAGAGAAGTGCTTCTAGTAGAAATAAACTCATTTACTGTCAGAAATCTGAGGTGTTTGCATGTTACAAAAATAAAAATGTACAGTCACTGTCATAAAACTCACCTTTTTTTTTCTCTCTAGTATAAGTTAGTGCTTTTACAAACAAAAACAAAAAAGAGTCTAGAGCTAGATTTCCAGCTGGTACCTCTCCAAGTGCTCTGCATTGGCCAGTGGGATCACTTGGGATGAGGACCACAGGATGAGGGACACCCCTGATGGCACTGCCAGTGCTGCCAGTGCTGCGGCCAGCTCAGAGGGAGCTGGGATTTCCAAGCAGGACCAGAGGAGGAAACTTTGGGTATGTTTTTGTTGAATTATTCAGAGCACGGAGCGTGTCCCCGTTGCTTTTTGGCAAGGGTGGGAGGCCAGGCAAGGCCTGGCCTGGAGTGATGTTTGTACCAGCACAGTGCCATGGCTGAATTCATTTCTCCCAGCTGTTTGTCTCGCCCCAGTGACTGTGCCATGACCCTCCCCATCAGGCCAAGCTCCCTCCACAAGAACAAAGGAATAAAGGTGCTGCTATGGTGCAAGGCCGCTCTTAACCCAATCCTCTCCCAAACACACTCGAGGGTGGCATGAACCACCCTATAAATGTTCTGTTTGCCTTTGCCTGCTGTGGTTGTGACATTGTTGGTTGGGACAAGAGCTCCCCGTTGGGGTGGGACCACAGGAACTCCCAGTTAGCCCTGAATGGTCCCAGTCACCCGTGACTGAACACACCTGGTGACATCACGGTGTGCCTTTGTCTCCATCAAACTTCTCAAGAAGGAAGGATGGGAGAAGCTAAGGCCTGGGTCTAAGCCAACATCAAATGTGTTTGCCTAGTCCTGAAATAGAGCTTCTACAAAATGTGACTCGTCCAGTGCTGCAGCTCAAGCAATTTTCATTTCTGGGGGGAGGAATCAGCGCCCTCCTGGCAGGGAAACCACGGACCTGGGCTCTGGGCTCTCCAACCCAACAACTACAGGGAAAAACACCAAGAGCACCTTCAGGTGAAATGTTCTGTGGACATTTTTTACAAATCCAGGCAGAATGGGCTGAAGCTCAGCACCACCTGCAGCTCCTCAACTCGGGGTTTGGTGCTGGCAGATTCTGTCACCTCTGAGGGACAGCAATGGGGACATGGCAGTGCTCAGCCAAGGGGAAGAACTCAGGTCTTTGCTGCTGGGCTGGAAACATGAGTCACCAGGAAGGGGGTTAAAAAAAAATACATGAAGAGCTCACCTTAAATTTTAATGAGCTGGAGATGATTATTAACAGCCAGCAGCTGGAAGCTGCAGGTTCCTGAAAGCTTTTAAAGGGTGACTGCTGCTGTTGGGAAGCACTAATGGGTTTTTTGGAAGATGTTGGCCTCACTGGAGAAACCTACAGGGGACCTGCTGGATGGTACCAGTAAACTCCAGTGAGCTGCTACCAGGGCACTCCAGTGGGATGGAATGTCCATCAGGTTAGTGGGAAGGCAGCCCTTGGACAGGAGCTGGGAATGCCATCCCTGCTCTGCCAGCTTGAAGCTGGGAGAGCATTTCTGCAGGGATGCAAAGCTGTGGGAGACCCTTTCCTCTGTGGGTGCTACTTGTCCTTGACATTTGCATCAAGCTGCTCAGCAGAACTGCAGCTGCCTCTCCTCATCCCCCCAAAGCCCCTCCTGCCTTGCCAAGGCACAGAGGAACTCCAGCTCCCCCCGTGCCAGGCAATCTGCAAAGAGATTTCTTTAGGGGGACTTTCTGCACACAGTGTTCTTGCTTGGGAAAATGACTCAGGGCACTCAGGGCACGATTTGTTCCCCAGATTTGGTCACCTCAGCGTTGATCAGAGGGGCAGCCTGGGATGCAGAGCCACAGACCAGGGTTCATGTGTGCAACCACAGCTGCACCTTCCTGAAAAAAGTACAGCAAAACAAGCAGAGCAGCGCGTTTGACACGGACCACGCCGGAGCGGGGGCAAGCCCAGGCACCCCAAACACCCAAAGCCTCGGGCCCCAGAGCATCCTGTCCTCCCTTCAGAGCCAGGACAAACCCTCCTGCTGCGGGGCAGAGCTAGGATTTCAGATCCTTGGAGAGCTGTGTGTCCGTGTCGCTGCTGGTTCCCAGGTGACTGTTGGGCACCGTGCCCAGAGCCACCTCGTTCTGAGGCTTCCACGGCACTTTGTTGCCCGCAAACCTCATAAATCGTTGCCCTGCTAAGAAATACAAAATGGGATCCAAGCAGCTGTTGGTGCTGGCCAGGGGACGAGTCACCTTGTATGCCAGGTTGATGGCGTTGAGGGTCTGGCAGCTCAGGTCCCAGCTCCGGAAGGAGTAGTACAAGGTACGGGTGACGTGGAAAGGAAGAAAACAAACAATGAAGACCACCAGGACGATGATGATCATCTTCACCGACTTCTTCTTGGAGCGGGACAGGCGGGAAATGCCCCGGGTGGGCTGGAGCAGCCGCCGCGCCATCAGGCAGTAGCAGACGATGATGATGAGGAAGGGGATGCAGAAGAGCAGCACCAGCATCACCGAGCTGTAAATGACGAACTGCCCGAAGAGCTCCTTGCTGGAGGTGTCGTGGCAGGTGATGGCGTCGCCCTTGGCGCTGGTGGTGACGAAGAAGAGCACGGGGCACTGGCATGCCACGGTCACCAGCCACACGGCCGCCGAGACCTTGCGCGCGTGGCGCACGTGGCCCCAGCGCAGCGACTTGAGCGGGTAGCAGATGCCCAGGAAGCGGTGGATGCTGATGCAGAGCAGGAAGAGGATGCTGCAGTAGAGGTTGGTGTAGAAGAGGAAGCGCACGAGCTTGCACAGCCCCGCGCTGAAGGGCCAGTTGTCCCCCATGGCGTAGTAGTAGACCAGGAGGGGCAGGGACACCACGTAGAGCGTGTCGCTTATGGCCAGGTTGAACATATAGGTGGTGGAGGCGTTCCAGGTCTTGATCCTGAAGATGAAGGCGTAGAGGGCCAGCAGGTTGAGGAAGAGCCCCACCACGCACACGATGCCGTAGGAGACGGGCAGCAGGACGTATTTGAAGTCCTCGTCAAACACGCACTTGTAGGGGTTGTCGTCTGTGCCACCCGGCTCCAAGGAGCTGTTGGTGACCCTGGTCCAGGCTGGAGGAGTTGTGAGGTTCTCCATCACCCTGGGGGGAAAGCAAAGAGGCTGTAAGCACACGGAGACAATGGCTCAAGAGGGCAGCACATCACTGGCCACAGACACCATGGCCTCACGGTGTTGGTGACACAACTGAGCAGTCCCTGACATGGAGGAATCATTGTCAGGTGGATCAGGTGAGTCTTACTTAACCTCATTTTGTATCTGGAGCACAGAGGAAGAACTGAGCTGCTTTCAAGTCACCAACAAACCCCAGGCCACATGTGGGGCTCCACCTCAGAGCTCCTGCAGCCCAGTTCAATGTCCCAAACCTCCCTTCCCACCAGGTTCACACAGAAATTTGCTCTCCTGCATCTCAGAACAGGAACGATGCTCCATTCTGTGTTTAACCAGCCACAAGGGGTGACTCAGCTGAGCACCACTAGAAATGCATTCCTGCTAAATTCCAGGCAGAGAGGATTAGAAAGCGGAATTTCAGCACGCAAACCTCGTGACCATTTCGGAGGTCTTCAGCTCCTTCTGGTAGGGCAAACCCCATCACACCCTGTAATCAAACCTTGCCAAAAGGAGCAGGGTCTCCACCACGGGGGCTCTGCCTGGCTTGGCTGCTGATGAGGATGAGGGGTCTTTAATGGGTTTAGTGCTGGGCTGATGGTGGCCAGGTCACAGTCCTGCTCGCTGGCCTTGAGCCCTGCTTGTGCAGAGCTGGTTTCTGCACGGGACTGATTAGCTGGGAGGAGAAAAATGGCCTTGAAAGGGTCTCTGCAGACACACAGAGCCTGGCCTGTCTGTGAGGAGGGACAAGGGCCCTTTTGTGCCCTGGGCTCTGCTGACACACAATCTCTGAGCGAGCCCATGGGTCAGGAATCAAATTAAAATGCATTTCCTCCCTTCCCGTAAGAGGAGCCGGATTGGTGTCCCTGCTGTTCCCTGCCTTAGGGAAGCCCGTGGAAATGGGGGGTCACAGGGAGGCAAATCCAGCCCAGGAGCTCAGGGAGCAGCAGCTCCTGCAGGAGAAAGGCTCTGAGGAAAGGTGTCCTTGGAATGAGCGTGTGGGATGTACCCTGGCCCAAACCTCACCAGGATTTCAGGTGGGAAAGAGCAATCCCGGCCTTTTTGGGTGAAGGGCTCAGCTCTAACCTGGTGCCACCATGCTGAGGGACAGTGTGGCCATGCCCTTTCTGGCAAAATAAACACCACATCCAGAGCTATCTCAACCCAGATGCTGTAGGGGAGGAGGCAAAGCTGCCAGCCTGGATGGTCTCTCACCAAAGTAAAGCACTTTGGCACTAAAAAGCAGCTTGACAACTGTTTGCTGAGGGAGAGGGGATGAAGTGATGCTTCCAGCCCATCACAAGGGGATAACTCCAGTCCTTGCTGTGGGGACTGGATCAATCAAGCTGTCCAGAAGTGCACTGCCGCCATCCCTGATGATGCTTCCCCCATCCTGCTGCTTTCCCCTTGGAGCAGAGCAGGAAGAGGGCTGGCTGAGGCTCACACTTCCCAAGGACAGGGGTGGAAACCACACTCACCCCCCAGCTAATCTGGAATATCTGCAAAAACCCCAGTACAACTTTGGGAACCACTCTGTGATGAAAATCAGGAGCCAGCACTGTCCTGGTCTCAGGGTTTTGCTTCTCCTGCACTCAGCTCAGCTTTGCTCCCATCCTGCTCCCCCTGAGCCCTCAGCAGTGTGGCTGTGGATGGAGAGGGTTAACAGAGCTCTGGCAGATGGGAAAACATTTTCCAGCTGCTGTTCTCTGCCATTTCTTCCTTCCCTCTGGGCTGTGCAGCTCTGTGGCCAAGCAGAGAGAGGTTGCCCACAGAGCTGGCAGCTGATGAAACGGGCTGGGCAGGCCACCGTGACCGAGGGAAGCCACACAAGATGCCCCAAAAGGCTCAGGGAAGGCTTGTACAGCACTGATGGGGGGAGATCACCCTGAATTCCAGCTCAGCTTCCCACAGGCTCCTGGGACCCCAGGGAGAGAACCCAGCCATGCTCCATCCCTAAGCCAAGGTGGGGAATCTCCTGTGCCTGGTCCCTCATCTCCACCTTCAGGACAAGGAGCAAACAGTGTTTGCTGCTTGGTTTGAATGCAGCCTTGTCCCTGCTGTTGTGCTCTCCCTCCTTTTCCTTCTGGCAATGCAGAAGCCTTTCTTTTTCTCTTTTTTAGCCTCGTTTTGCCCAGAATCCCTAGGACAAAACGTGCTGTGTGTGCAGGGCCCGTGTCTGCAGTCCACCCCCTCACTGCATCCGCAGGCAGCGAGCTGGAGAGGCCAGGCCAGCCAAGGCACGTGAGGGAACAAGGGCTGGCAGCTGGCGCTGCCCTTTGCTGTGCCCAGGGGTGCCACAAATGCCAGCTGGGACTCCCCCAGCCCCGGGATGAGGGGAGGGAGAGGAACCAGCAGTCCCTGAGGACGGCAAGCGGGATAAACACTTCTGTGATCCCCAAAAGCAAATAAACCACGATGCTTTGGTGAGAGCCACCTGCATCTGCCCCATCACTTCATCTCCTGGCCCTTTCTGAGGCTTTTCCTCTGGCACTGGATGCAGGTGACCAGACACAGCTTTTTGGGTGCCCTCCAGCCATCCACTCACACTTTCCTCCATGCTGAACCACGTGCAGGTTGCAGTGGCTGGACCATCCCTCTCTCTGCAGTGTGGACCTGTTTATCCCATGAGTTTATTCCCAGAAAACCTCAGTGCCAGAGGATGAGGGCAGCACAGGAGAGCAGCCTGGGCAGATCCCTGCCCTCAAATACAGCACCCACAGGCACGTGCACGTGAAGTCAGCATCCCAAAATGCTCCTGTAACTGGATCTGCAGGGATATTTGAATCAGGCAGCAGGGCAGAGGAGGGGGCTGTCATGGGAGAAGGTCACGGGCAGCTGAGGGATGGGCAGCACTCCACAGGGAGCCCACGGGATGGGCACTGAAATCCCAAGTAAAGGCCTTGGCTCCTGATTTCTGCCCCATTTTCCACATTCCCACTGCCATCCCAGCTGGAATTTGCCAGGCAGCAGCAAAGTCACTGAAGACAGCAAAGCGCAACCAAGTCATAGCTGCGATTAATATGTTTTCACAGGGGGCTGATGAGGTTTAATTGGCCTTCCCAAATAATTAATGTGGATTGATTTCCCAGCAGGACCTCACAGAGGCAGCCCTTGCTGGTGCCACAGCTCCCACTGTTTAATGCTGAGGCTGAAACCACGATCCCTTCGTTCACCACATCTCCCTGACTGCCTCCCAAAGCACACACGGAGAACGTGGGTGTTTTCCCTGCCCTCATTCTGAGGCATTGCCTGGACCCATCAAAATCCTCGCTCAGGATCAGGAACCACTCGAGACTCTGGGAAGCAAAACGACCTGGGATCGTTTATTATAGGTGGCCATTGAATCTTAGTATGTATTGTACAGGTGGCCTTTGAGTCACAGTAAAATCTATGTGTTGTACAAGTGGCCGTGCCCCAATCCCAGTTGTTCTAGATGGGCTGCAGCTGTGATGTCCTTCATTGGGCTGCAGCTGTGGCCAGTGAAGATTACTGGGATAAAAGGAGATGGGCTGGCTGGTCAGGGAGAGCCTTGGAGGAGCCCTGATGCAGAAGCAAGAACAGCACTGCTGTGAGGAGCTGTTTGTGAGAGAACCACCCAGAAGGTATGGGACTCTAGAAATAGGATAACAGCAATAGGATAACAACAGTTTTTCACTGCTCTGGGACTGTGGTTCCAAGCCTTTGTGATCAAAAGCAAACAGGGAACGCGTTTGGTTGCTCCTGAGCCTGTCTGCTTGGAGCTGTGGGGTGGGATCTGAAATCTGAGCCTGCCCAAACTGCGGCTTTCCATCTGCCCTTTCCCTTGGATCCTTTCTGCCACAGTGACCTTCAGAGCCCTTCTCCTCCAGGCTGGCCCTGGCCACCAGTGTCGGCTGAGGATCATCCCCAGCGCTTCTGCCCAGCAATCCCAAGGCAAGACACCCCCAAAATGCACTTCCAGCTTTAAGGGGCTTTATCCATCTCCCTGCCAGGCAACATCCCTCCTTTATCCCTGCTTACCCCTTCCTCCATCCCCAAAATAGCCAGAGCGCCTCAATTAAAGCAAAACCTTGCAAAGAATCTCTGTTTCTGTCCCTACAAAAAAGCAGCTTTGGAGGGCAGCTCCACTCCAGGAATGCTGCCTCAGTTTCCCCTCCTGTCAGCAGGCTGAGAAACAGCAGAGTTGAGTTTGTTTGCTCTGTGAAAAATATTTTTTCTGGGGGTGTTTTGGTTTCCTAGAGGGTTTTTCAGTAACCTGATCCAAGCTAAAAAGGGGAGAGAAAGTCTGGAGAAAAAAATGTAACGAGTTTAAAAGAACTTCATGACTTTGTTTGGAGGTCAAATAAAAGGTTTTGCTTTGAGAGAAATCCTTTCCTCTGGGAATTTCTGGTTTCCCCCAAGAAACTCCCTGAATCCATCTCCCTTCCAGCTTTTGCTTCCCTGGGGGTACCAAAACCTCTTGCCTTGCTCCACACCATGGGGAATCAATTGAGATTAATCAAATCTTTGGCTTTACAGTGAATTGAGAAAGCATTAAAACCATCAGTGACAATGGTAATTAAGGCCACCTTCACTCAGTAGAACCTGACTCAATTCCCAGCATGGCAGAGCTCTGGGGATGGATCCTGCTGGAAGCAAACAGCAACCCTGGCCAATATTTAATCCCTTCACCAACACTTCCCTTCCTGCTTCAGCAAGGGTGATGCTCCCTGCCTGTTTTTCCCTGCTGTGGGAGAGGGGCAGATCCCATTTGACCCCTCAGACTTCCAGTTTTAATAATTCCATGGGGGAAACTGGGCACTTAGGCTCCTTTAGGCTTCCTGGAGGTACAAGATGGTGTTTGTGTCAGGAGTTTGACTTTGGTTTTGCCCCTCCGTGACCTTTAGATGCCCACAGGAGGAAGCAACAGTCAGAGGGAAGAGTGTGGCACCAGTTCCTGGCCGATTTGGCGACCCTACAGACTTCATATGTGGGAGAAAGGACATTTCCATGGA